AGCCAATTCTGAAATACTGGACAGACATTTGCACTGCAGTAAGTGTAAAGTAATACTGCTGCATAGTAGATAAGCAGTGAGAAGTGAGAACGGTTGCACTCATCTGCTTGAAAAAATTCAAAAATTATTGTACTGTTGGAAGCATACCCCGTAGTATTCAACTATTTTTGCCATGATTTCTTGCATCGGTTTGCTTGTTGCTTTTCTTTTCATCGTACAAACTCCGATTACTATCTCCAAAAAACAAAAAGGTAGTAATAAAATAATTATATTAAAATTTTCCCAAATCCAACTTCTTTTCTACCGAATCTTGTTTAGAAATTTAAACCCTAAGTTATTACTTTTATGAGACCAGTACAGTTGCCCAATTTACAAAAGAATTTATTCGAAAGCATCAGAGATAGAAAAATGTTAAAACTATGTGCTTATGATTTTCCCTTATTTAATGCCCTAGAATGCCTTGCAAGTTCCTTAATTATAGAAGCCTAGAATTGGAATCAAGTCCCTTAATTCCAATTCTAGACTTCACCAGTATCAAAACAGAGATATGTTGCGACAGAAGTTACGATGTGCAATGTCAATACATTCTTTCGACTTCTACTGACAATTTGAACTGAATCAATGTTGTCGATTTTTTCCCAAACTATCTTCCAAATTCTTGTTTGGCTAGTCAATCAATCAGACATAAAGAATCCAACTTTCTTTGCTGATTCACGACTGGATAATACTGTTGGCATGACCCAATGCAATTTCTATGCTTCATTAAAATACCAATCGACAACAGCCACAAATAAATCACTGTAGTTGTAGGTGACAGGAATCAGTCCTCAGATTGGAGCATTTCATTGTTGGAAGAGTGTTTGAGTCTAAAAGACTTTAACTGTTTAATGTGGCGATTTAAAAAACGCACTGCTTGCGGTCACTTTTTTTGGAAGACCAATTTTAGACCATTATTCCGGAAGTTATGAATATTCTATTTTAATTATATTAACTCCGTTTCATTTTCCCACTGTTTTTTGAGTTACACAAAAAGCACTGGTGACGCACTCATGCAACCACTGCAACAATGGAGTGTCGATTAAAATGAATCATATCATTCATCCAAATCAATTCAGCAGTACAAAATGATATTGCAGAAATGAATTTATATTAACAATTAAATCTCGAGTCCCAAATTGAGGAAATATATTGTATTGCAATATACTATTAGTCAGACTAGTCTAAATCCCTCAATATAGCATCACGAATGGTGGACATCACGAAGGTGAATATCATGAATTTTGATTGCAAAATTCAAATCATTTGACGTAACCACCGTCATCTGGTGCATTTAGTGAGTGCACTGTATAACTTTTATTATTGTGTTTCTAGTTCTTCGCAATGGCAGTATCTCCATTGTTCTTATAAAACTGATCTATCCGTAGTAAATAAAGATAAGGTCATAGCTTCGATTTTGTAGGACATTGAAACACAAATAAAACTGATAGACAGTATTAAAATAATTTGAGGAAAACAACTCTACGGGCTATGCAAAATTCAATTCTGGAAAAATTTCCGATAAGTTAAACTATCAAACTCTTTTTGAACGTCAGAAAAGGTTTGGCAACACTAATGCAAAAAGAAATCTACAACACTAACATCTGCTTTAAAGTCCTGGCTTTGGAAAAACATAAATATGCTCTGAAATCGTCAGTTTCTCACACTTTCCAACCCAATAAAAAAATATACATAAACAAATAAGTCCTCGACTTATGTTTCACTAGACAAAAAGGGGAAAGCATGTATTAATAGATTTGATAAATTTTATTCCCGAACTTACAGGATGACAGGTTAACAAAGGTAATTCAGTTATATTTATAAATGAAACAAATTGGACACATAAATATTTGGAATTCTGATATTTTTACGCTGGTCGTCTTGCGAAATAATTACCACAACATATACGATTAGGAAAAAGGTAATGCCTTTGTTGTCTATTATTCCAACTCGGCCGTACTATTCTGGCGTATTTGTGCGGCAATTCGATCTAAATCTTTTCGTCCCTGAATGAAATTATTAGTATAAAAATGAAAAGATATTTGTTCCATGTAAAAAACATGCTACTATCTCATAACTAATTTTCACTTAAAGAAACGTCCTTCGGGAACCATTAGTGTGTACCCAACAATATATATAGAAATTTTATGTATGCGTAATAACTATACCCAATAGTTTCAAACATAAACGACCATACCTGCCGGGAAAGTGTTCGGCCATTACCTTCCGGATGTTTCTCAACCCATTTTATGGCCTCTAGTGTTTGAAGCGCTTTTCGAATAACAGAACCAGAAGCTTTAGAGAAATGATTTGGTGTTACTCCTCGTCGTTTAGCTCCACCATAAACGCGCCGTAACGCACCAACTCCTGTAAATGAAGTTCAATATGTATAAGAAAATAATCCCAAATAATTTAAAATACAATCTGGTTCTTTTTAGAAAAATACACTCCCTGACATAGCCTCATTTAGAAAAATAAGCTCAAAAAATTAATCATCCAATTCAAATAAACCTTTTCGTAGGTCTCTTGATACTAACACTCTGTACTTTGACTAAATATTAAGATAAACAGGGAATGAAAGAACAAACCTGTTGGAGAACGAATGTAAAGACGGCGTGCAATGCTAGCAGTTCTGGTGTAGTACCAATCAATGTCAATAGGTGCAAGTTCTTTGTAACTTCCCATTTTCACAAGATCTGACCAATCAGGCACCTTCACTTTTCCGCTTTTTTTCAAAAAGTGTGCGATGTGTTTAACCATTTCATGCTGATCCACATCCTTAACACTCGTTGGTTTAACCATTGTCTAATATTCGTCACCCTCCGAATGTCTCTAGAAGATATGTCTGTTAATAATAAGGATGAAATGAAAGATCAGCTTCAGGTTGTATAAGCAAGCAATATATGCCATAATCTTTTTAAGAAATCATTAATAAAACAGTAATCAAACGTGTTAATGGACAGAATGCCTTACATTTTTAAACAATAGCTTCTAAGTTATACAATATACCACTGTCCTGGAAAAATGCTGTGAAACTAATTATGCCACAAAGACGAAACAAGGACTGAATCCAATGCATTAATACAAGAGCATAACAAAGAAAATATTTTAACATTATGAAACGAGTATATATAAATGAAGTGTGATGCGACATGCAACACTGTTCTCTTCCTTCACAACATTTTAGATGTAGCATGGCGCCATCTCAAATTCCAACACTTATCCTTAAACCGTTAAGAAACCACCACAAACACCCAGGATATACTGAACAACTTGCGAGACACACCACATCCCTACTTCAACTCTAGACCCTTAGTACGGTCTGTTAAATATTGTTTAGCCTACAACGAAAAGTATTGGATTAGAGAGCAAGAAGTGTTTATGTGTCGATGTGGCTTCTGTGGTCTGTTGCTAAAGTCTGTTGGTAAGATATAATTTGTCGGGGAATCTGGTTATTCCAAGTCAAAATGCCGGTCGTGACAGATATTTTTAGAAAAGCGTGGACAAACTTAAGATATGGAGGTATACAAAGACAAGGAACTTACTATTGATTATACGCAAGCTGTGTAAAGGAAGATGTGTGCCAAAATCTCGCAGCATTCAAAAGGAAGTACTTTGAAACAACTTACTGTGCCTGAACTGAAATGGGAAGTGGGAATCTGTTTTTAAAGAAACGGACAAGAAACATATTGCGCGAACAAAAGATAACTCATAGGAATCTTTAATGAATAATAAACGAACTCAATTCCTCGTGCATGGGATTAGTCACATAGCACGAAATACGTAACTTCTAGCGCAAAAAGACTCGCACTGAAGGGTTTCTTCCGGTTCTCTCGATGTAATACAGAACTTACGAAATCCAGATTCCCTATCACCAGTTTGTTTTCCTGACAGTTTCACCTATTTGTTAGGTTTGTTAATATGAAACATACAAGCTCCCAAGCTGACCATACAATTGAAATCTACAAGTCCTACCTCCGTACTATCTTCAGTAAATAACTAAGATTTGTCCACCACCTCTCATAAGATATTTTCCTTCCTGTGATTCCAATCCATCTCAGTAATGTCACAAATCAGTATTTCGCAATATTACTTTTCCCAATCATTAAGGAAGGTAATACCACTTTTTACTCCATCCTGCAGATTAAGTGGTATTCAAAAGGCTTGTGTCATCGGTAATCGTGATAATTTATTTTCACAAAACATAGCAAATTACGAGAAATCGCAAAGTTGGTACAAAGGTTAACAAAAATTTAAAAAATCAGACTAAAGCGAAGTTGCTTGTGCTTCTCAGAACCATGACAAGAGCACTTATTTTCGCCCCTGAAAGGGTTCATGAAGTCTCTCTGAAAAATAAACAAAAGATAACTAAATTCAAAGTGAGCATTTGTGAGCATCAATAGCTCGCAATATAATGAAGATGCTACAAATAATTACAACCGTAATAATAAAGTAATACAAAACAGTAAGAATAAGAGACGATCCAAAACGAACTACGAATGAAAATGTAAAGCGTGGCAGAACAGAACCCCAAAACTTATACTGCTGTTTATTGTGATAAACCCCAATTCTTGAAATCCACGGCGACAGAAGATATAATTAAATCTGAATGAAATTCAGCTGAAGAGACCTACATAAACATCGCACAAAGTTTGGAGAAAACGCCAAGGAATTATAAACAATAAAACTAAACAAATACACTTAGAAAAAGTCAACCATAAACGAATTTTTAAAGAAATAATATAAATCATGTCAGACCAAAAATTCTTTAGAAGTTCCTTAGACAATTAAATTCCAATTATTTTCTACAGCCAAAACTGTTTCTATTAAATAACCAGTGACTTGTGCATGGTCTTGATCAAATTTACAATGCATAATATTACACAGAACATCTCATGTATTCTTAACATTTTCATCAGCAGTTTACAAATTATAACATAAATAGAAAGGGCAGCATACCACTACTAATTTGAATTAATGATAGCCGATTGCTGTGTAGTGATCAGATTCGCTTGTGATGAATTAACTTCTGCTGATGCTACCGCCCGCACTGTTGCGTCTACAGAACCACGTGCTCGTGTGCTTAATTCTGAATTGCCATGTCCACGTACTGTTGAATGTGTCCTTTCGTGTTTTGTTAAATGATCTGATCGCATAAATTTTTTTCCACAATGGCCGCAAGCAAAACGTTTCTCACCTAAAAAAATTTTTTGTATATCAAACTTGCAGTTCGAATATAAAGACTTCGAAAGTACAAAGTGAACACAAACCAGTATGTGTTCTACGATGCCGTTGCAATTCATCGGAACGTGTGAACCTTTTCTGACAATGTGCCCAGTCGCACGCGAACGGTTTTTGCCCTGCATGTCCTCTTAAATGTGCTCGCAAATGTGACGTCTTTCCATAGGTTTTTTCACATAAGTGACAAATGTGTAAACGCTGCTTCTCACCACTTTTAACCCTAAAAAACAAAAATGGTTTTTCTGCTCAAATTTTTTCTACTGAAAAACATATTAAATAATAAAATTCAAGAGTTGGAATTCTTTAATTCCCAATCATTCCTCGATAAACAGCTTACAGCTTATTGTTAGTACTGTTTTGACAGTTCGGACAGTTACACGCAGTTCTTTTAGGTGTTTTCTGCTGCTTGTATCCTAGCTGTTGACCAACAGTTGAAGCACTTGGTGTAGCATCGAATTCATTTTGACGATTGTAACGATATCCTTGACTGGATGCCTCTGTTGTATCGCCTGTTGCTGTAGTAATTATCCATTTCTGAGGATCATTTGGATCTTGAATGAAATGTAAATTTCCTGCAATACATGTTCATAAGTGATGAAAAATGTAAAACCCTCTATCGACATGTTTTAGTATGTAAGAGCAGTGGAACTCACTAACTTTCAGTCATCGAATAACAGAATTCATATATGCTCATATTTTACCACAGCAACATAAGAAACTACATTTTGGATACGGCTCTCAAATCACCCATTTCCTGTCTGTAGCAGAAGTTCGGTAATTTAATTTTAATTTTTCCATTCCTTTGTAAATTATCGTTTAAACTGTGAAGTCTTTTTTCAAATCCATTTTTTAGCTATAACATTTTTGCAAAGGATGGACACCAAAAATGAACTGCATAAAATTAAAATTACATGACAGAAATTGATCAGTAAATCACTGACGAATAGTAAAATCAATAATCAAACCTAATTTTATCCTTTGTTGGGTAGCGACTCCATTAGCACTACCATCGTCTATTTCATGTTTTGTATTTGTTTGTTGTGGTTGTTGCATGTCCACATTTCGCATCTGCTGTAAAGTTTGTTGCTGTATATGATGAGGTTGCGCATGCAAACTGGCTAATACTGGTTTCGTATCTGGAGCCGGATGCATCTGCAGCGGTATAAATGCTATCTAAAAGCATTAAAGTGATCGTAAGTTTTTATAGAGAAAAACCACAGCATTTATTTTAGCCGAAAGTTGAGACTCTTTTACGGTAAGATAAATTTAATCGAGTCGTACTCAGTTGGAAGAGGCTTTCACCGAATTCCTTCTGCAAATTTATCATTTAATAGAATTTATTCATTATTCCCACTTACGATTCTTTCCTTCCTTGATTGATATTTCAGAACTAGTAAAGAAGGCCACCAAAATTACGTTTACTTTTTCTTCAAAAAAGCAATTCAAGAGAAAAACCTGTTGCGGTGCCTGATTGGGGCCAGCTGTAGGTTGTTGTACAATGTAAAACTGGTTAGTCTGCTGGATACCGGTAGACTGAATTGGTATTGAAGGGCCTGGAAACACCGCTGCAAACCTTGATAAAAACAAATAATGATAGGGAAAAAATGGGAACAAAAAAAGGGAATTAGTTGTATAGTATACCAAACTATACTACATAATGTACTATGTATATGTATAATGTGGTAAGAATTCTCAATTCGAGAATATATTTTATTGCTCTTAGTTATTGATTTTTTAAAAATAACACGTGCTCTTGGCTGTTTAACTCACCTGTTCAACAGAAAACAGGCAGCATAGATCAGCTTCAAGCCTAATGAGTATATGGTTCAGAATGAAATGTAAAATCAAGTTTATCACACTCCAGTTAAAAAAAACCTTACTTAAAGCTGAATTTGCAAAAATAAATGTAAATCCGAAGAGACATCCTCTCAATTATCACATCCTGCACCGCTATGAAATGACTGTAAATCTTACTAGCAATTGTGGGTTGTTGTATTACTAAGAATTGTTGAGTTTGTCCTGGCCCTGTGACCGGTATGAGCTGAACTTGTGTCGGTTGTTGTCCACTTTGATTTTGAGTAGCAATCGGTATAAACTGCACCTAAAAAAACTTCCAGTCAAAATGCACAGAGTTAGGAAAAGTAGGTTTAGGATATAAAGAACAAATCCCGATTTTATAACGCTTTGATGGATGAATAACACTTGAAAATTTGCAGTTTTTGGGATTTGAAAGAACGATGTGTTCGTGCTAATCGTTAACTTGCGCAAGTTTTTATCATTTCGTCTAGCAAAACCAACGAAATCTGACATGGTTTTAATCGGACTGTAAATTAATATCACACTGGAAAAAAAGTGCACAACGCAATTCCAAATATACTACTCACCCTATATCTTATTCTTTCCGTGATCAGAAAATTCGGTAAATTCCGAGATGAAATGAATCTTTACCTGCTGATGCTGTATAGATGTAGTCTGATGCTGCGACTGCTGTGCCACGACAGGGGTACCATTCGTACCGGCGTTACCGGTAATGGGTTTCGGCAGTATGGGAGTGTCCTGCGTCGCTGGGGGTTGTGTCGTGGATGGTGACGGTGCTGCTGGATTGGATGATGGCTGCTTGGGCAAGATAGGGGTGGTCTCAGCCATCGTGAGGCGGGGGCCACCTGTTGTTACTGTTGCTGCCCCTTTCCTATACTGATCACACGAGGGGAGGCAAGCTGTACTACGACGTGTCAACTTTTCAGGCTATACGTCACCACACACTTACGTTTAATCTTCCTTGCGATGGCGGAAGCCTACGCAACGCACTGACAATTAGAATAAGGAATGCAAATGAAGAAAGCACACCTCCCCGCCGGTCTCTAGCAATCGATTCAGCCAACTTTGATGGGACAATGGGCGGAGCATGGAATTAATGCGGCCCACGTCGTTGAATGGGTGTGTCCCTTTAATGAAAATGGGCGTGGCACCCTTATGACCCTGCGGATGACTTATTGCATTGGGGTGGGCGGTGCTGGTAGCTCTTAACTCGGTCCCCCTCGGAACATACGTTCTCGATTGAAATCGGGACACAAACACTACGTTAATGCAACTTTGCACATTGCTCTTGGGAAGCACACATTTGCATTCCGCAGAAAATCGTTGCTATAAACTATAGGGCAGTAATGTTCTTCTGAATCCTGTTTTGCGCTTCAAGAATAGTTCGTAAAGCTGATTCTTCCAAGATACTTTGAAGTGTCACACAACAGTCGAAGAACTGGTGATGTCTGTTAATCCATGAGTCTGTTAATTAAATTTTCTAATTTGAACTGTTCACACTTTGTTATCCATAGTGAACTGTTCTGTTCATGCCTGTTTTGTTCTTAAGCATTTTCTTTCACGTGTTTATTGAACAAGCAATGTAACTACAACAAATGAACAATAAAGAACCACAAAAATTTGCTTCCTGTGCTTCCCGCCTACGCACTTGGTTCTAAATTCCTAGATTAATGCCAAGATGTAAGAAATGCGCAAATACCATGCCTGTGCTAATATTTATTTCCTCTTAGTTGTAAGACCAGCACCCGCATTACATTTAAACAATATTATATCACCATCTTCAACGATATAATTCCTGCCCTGCTGACGATACTTCCCTGCTGCTTTCACAGCAGTTTCGCTGCCTAACTCCATCAAATCGTTCACCTTACATACTTCTGCCATAATAAATCCTTTCTCAAAATCTGTATGAATCCTTCCAGCAGCTTGCGGTGCTTTTGTTCCTTTCTTCAAAAGATAATACCGATTGTTAACTGACAGTAAAAATTTCATTCGACAACTGAAATCCTTAAACAAAAAGTTATGCCCCAACTGTGATTTTAAAATTATAGTTAAGCCTACTTGAATTGTCCACGCCTTCACTTCATCCTTACCACACGTGAAAAAGTATTCAAGTTGTAGTGCCTTGTAGCCGGTTTTCACAATTTTATCTAATGCGCTGAAACAAGGTGTCAAGAGACTAAAAAACAAATAAATGGAAAAACGACATATATAAAAAAAAAAACAAATTTATAAGCATTTTTATATAAGCATTTATAAGCACAAATCAAACATTCCAGTAAATCTAGTTTGAAAAACCATCGAGAAAACATACCTGGTTGCATTCTGTCCTTTCAAAAAGGCGATTCTCTCATCTTCTGGCATTTCCATGAGCTTCAGTTCCAGTGTACCGCTAAATGGGATACAAGCTGCGTACGGGTCATTCTCACTTAACCAGGTTTTAATTTTTGGTAACCACTTATTTTTCTGCAAATGTGTTTTTATTTTCGAAAATAAAATATTTACTTTCGCTAACTATCATAGAACCATTCTTGAAATGCACTAAATAATTTCTTTCCTTCTCAAACCACTTTCGAGAGATTAATCAATCCTCCGAACTTTATTTGCGATAAGGATAGCCCTCTCAAAGAGCAGTCCTTAGCTTTCCTGAATAAACTCTCAACACCTGAAAACTTGCTTTTCTGACATAGTCCATTTCCGAGAGATTAATCAAATAAACAATAGGCTTTGCCGTCAACAGAAGGTGATGATTCAGTGCTTCCACTTCCTTTTCGTTCCATACCATCAAACGAACGGGTTGACCATCCTCCTCTAACAACTTTTTCACCTATAATTAAAAAGCCTGAAAAGCCTTTCATTTCCTTCAGCTTTCCAAATATTATCTTTTCAAGATTACCTTCAATAATATTTCATATTCCAGCTTTTTACTTTTATCGACACCTCTCACAACAATTTTCTCCATTTTATCTATAGCGCCTTCTAGATACTGTAGGTCTTTCTTGATAAGCTCTCTTTGTATAATACCAAGATCACGAACTGGATTAACTTCACCTTCTACATGTGTCACATTGTCGTCATCGAAGGCACTAAAATAACAATTCTGTTTTCCAATCATTTTCTGAAATCTATAAGGCAGTCTATGTAACAATAGACGAGGAAAGTTCTTTATTCTTTTTCTTACCGTTTTTCTCCTTAAATAAATTTGGTAGTTCTAAACTTGAGCAGCTGTGTAACAAAACAATTCTGAATTCATACATTTTAAATATTTTTGTAACTGAATCTCATCCATTCCTTTTCAACTTCATAAATAAAAAGACAAAGGATTTATACTAATTTAAGATCGTTACTAACCGACAAAGGTGAAAAAGCGCATCACACGCACTAACATGTGACAAGAAAGCATTTCCAAGACCCAGTCCTTCAGAAGCACCACTCACCAAACCAGCAATATCAACAACATTTAAAAATGCTGGCACTTTACTGAGTGGCTTGTAATGCTCTACCAACCAATCGAAACGGTTATCATTAACGGGTACGCGGCCTAAAATGATAGTGGACTTCATTGCATGACTAGAAAATGACATAAACAACGCTTAATAATCCTATAACAAATTCCAGTAGAGAGAAAAACAGGAAAAAATCAATGAAGAGACGCAAAAAAATCTGTGAAATATTGCATTGATTAAAGCATGCTACATTTCTTCAAAATTAATAACATCTTTATGAATAGTTTAAAAAAAAAAATTCAAAGGCATCTAGTCGTCATGAATTTGCAAAAGAATAGAACTTATTCAGCAGTGATAACGACGATCATTACAAACAGGAAAGTGAGGTATTTTCTGTAATATTAACAGAAAATGTAAAGAGCAAATTAGTTATTTCAAACTTACTTTCATTAGGATCAATTGTACAGAAAGGAAAGTTTTCTGCTTGTGCTTGACTTTTCGTTAGCACATTGAAAAAAGTGCTTTTCCCGACGTTTGGAACTCCAAGAATACCCATCTAAATCGAAAATAATGGATTATATCATTTTGACACAATCACAGAGATATAACTACACAGATAAATTACATTTTCTAAATACATTTTTTTAACATAAACTACTAGGTAATTTTGGTTGCCTCCCAATAGCGCACTCACATCTTATTTACAAAGAAAATCTCAGTCGATTATAATGAAACAATACTGCAGTAACTGGATAATTAAGTTATCACGTCCATCATCTTTACCAACACTAGAAAGACATATCCAGGAAGTTTCCAACCAACATAGGACTAGGAAGTTTGCAACGGAAAAATAGCCAATGAATTTAAAAAGTCTCCAAATTACAAGCATTGTCAATAGTCCTCTTACTAGAAAATTAATGTTATTTGATCAAAATGAGAACAAAAGCATACAAACCTTTAAATTTGTCCCTATCCGACCTAATATGGGCAGACGCTCTCCCACATCACCTTTCTTTTTCGGTGGCATTCTTGTTTACTAATTATACTGAATAAATTGCTAAAAAAGGCATAATAGGTTTAGAATTGAACTACGTGTTAATAGTTAAAACAGCCTCGCAAGCCTGAATCGATTATAACTTGTAAATAAACCAAAATGATAGACACAAGGATTCAAGAATAGTTTAATAGCATTTCCTTTGCCAGAATAATGAAACAAAATGATAAGGGAATCAAGAATATATATTACTCGTTAATGAAGCTACAGCAAGGAAGAATCGAATTGTTTATTTCTAGGGATATAAAAAATTGATAGTTCAGTATTCAAACTGATTAGATGAAAGTGTTTTCAAAAACACCGGTGTTGTGCAGTCATTTCTGTTTATTTCCAGGAATGTAAGAAATCGACAGCTGGTACAAAACAATAATTTTTAAAATTTTATTTAAAAAAAAAAACGAAAAAAACAGAAGCCGCACAAAAAACAGATTTAGAAAAATAACATGAAAAATAAAATTTTCTGAAATTAATGGTACATTGGTCCTCGTGGAGGGAAAACTTGTGGAACAACGAAGGGTGGCGCTCCAGGCATTGGTTGAGGTTGCATCATTCCCATACCAGGACCCCCAATACCACGCACTGCTCCCTGCAAACCTGAAAATTATGGAAGATGAAGAGTAACACTTACAAAAACGCAAAAAATGAACATTATTTCATTATCTGAATAAAACCTTCCATACAAATTTTAGCTCAGCAATAAGGAATTAGACAAAAAAAATTCGCGAATAGTTCGGAACATTCATTCTTATTTTATCTTTTCAAAAAACTGATTTTCTCAGCAGTGACAGTAAACAGTAAATGAGAAACTTAAGTTAGAAAAAATTTTCTTCTATGCGACAATGATAGTAGGATTCCCTCTTGTCTACGGAATGTTCACAATCCGTATAGAAGGCTTTTATCATCTTTCTTCACTTTTTTTCTTCTCCCCAGAACTTACTAAATTTACATCCTTATCCTTAGAAAGGAATCAGAAATACTAACCAGGAGCAGGTCCAGGAGGTCCAACCATAGGTGGTCCCATTCCACGTCCAGCTGGTTTTGCTGCACCAGGTCCACCAATGTTTCCGGCCTTTCCCTGTTGTTTTGAATCCTCATCCTGTTCATTAGACTGAACAGTCATTGAAACTATGTGTTCACCCCGCAATAATACCAAACCCAGCGTCCGTTTTTCTTCTCCCTAAAAGAAACTATATACAGTGAAGTAGAAAAATGAGAAGTTTATAACGATATACATGGGACATAAAAACTCGAAATACACAAATACTAAACAATTATTCCTAAAAAATGACTACAGACGACTCACTGACTTAATATGAGTTGTACTTTCC